CAATTCACTGTAGTATGTATCAAACATCTGAATAACTTCATTATATAAATGCTGACTGCTTTTTTTTCCCTGTATTCTGTTCATTTATGTATCAAAGTAAATCCATACAACGAATAAACACTGCATAATATTATGGAAGTGTTGACATATGCTACTGAATTGCATCACAGCAGCGTGACACCAACAGCTGAGAGACCAGTTTGCCACCTATATATCAGGCTCATCTGAAACACAGTCATCTTTATATCCATCAGTTTTTTCCCTTCCTCTCATAGAACGGAAAAAATCTTTAAGAAATTAAAAATCTATAAAAATGTTTGCAGCCAACATAATTCACAAGTGATCTTTTTAACCCATAAGCTAAGATCTATTGGCTATATAAGTATGAAATAAAATACACCTCTGACTTGCAAATCAAAATGTTGCATTCTACAAAAAAAGGTGAAATTCCTTATTTAGAAGTATCCACCCCATTTAGAATTAAAACTTACTTTTATTTACTATTCTAATGAGAAATTTTGTAAAACTTTAAAGCAGTGATGAGTACTAGTTACTTGAATGTGTAATTTGAAGAATTTTGAAAAAAAATTATCACACAATTGGGTTAAATCTCCCAGTTCTAGATTCTCTCATTTGTAACAATGCAATGGCCTGACTAATCAGCACAATAAAGAAGGAGATACTTAATTGAAGAATTATCCTCGTAATAGTGAAATATGTAATCAGATCATTTATCACTAATATTAATTCCTTTTTATTTTTTTTAAACCATCAAGAGGTACTATTGGGTTGGATGCTTTGGGGGTTTTTTGGGGGAATTTTGCTTTTGTTAAATGCAAGAAGTCTTTCATGGAGTTATGAGAAAGCAACTTATACTTGATTTTTTCCTTGGAAATGTTTTGCAGAGCAAGTCCTTAGGCCTACTCCAAAATCTTAACTAAAGCACTACAATACAATACCAAAAATTTATTCCCTATAACTCAGGTTATTTTTGCATTTATGATTAAACCAAAATAAATCGAAAATAGATATATACAGCAGCCACACTCCAAGATAATTACTGAATTTAAAATACTACTAGAAAGAATTCTTCCATGTATTAAACTGCTTTTATACAGCAGTGAGAGAATACATTGAGGCCCTTTTTCCTCCCTTTCTTTCTTTGATTACTTAGCTGCTGTTACTGATACAGTATAATACATACTAAATTAATGACCTAAACAGTAAAAATCTTCTAGATTATTAGGTACTTTCAGATTTTGAGACATACTTCTCTTTTTTTGCTCCTTATACAGGTGTCAAGAATTTGGGGAATTTGAATTTCCTTAATCAAGACATTAGTTTTTCTTCAAAATATCCTACTTAACAGGACTATTGAGGTGCACCCAATACAATCTATGCCCTAGTATAATGAGTCACATTCCTTCTTCTTGTCCACTTTGAACTTAAAAATGTGTCTGAGGAAGTGGATATTTATTTAAACATTCAAAGCTTCTACAGAAATGTAAAAACCTTAAAACCTCTTCCTATGTCCTGAATGTTTCTTCATGTTATTGAAAGTTTTGCACATACATAAGTAGACTCTTAATGGTCACTGGAAGACTTTTTTTCCTCTACTAATGTTTTCATACAAACTCTGAAAGCAGTCTATGTGAAGTCTTTTATCTTTGAAAGCTCTAGAGAGTGGGCTAGAGATCCCTGCTTGGTATAATCTGCAACCCTGAGACAGGGCAGCATACTCAGCAACTCCAGTTTCTTTTTTGGGTTTTACTATTTCAAATAAAACCGAAACACACCAAAACCCACGAAAGAGTAACATTGAAATTAATTATAAACAATGCACTTGTTACAAAAAATACTTAACCTGTTTATGACAAGGCTGAATTTGAACTACAGCCAGTTGACTCGCTTTAGGCTCTTGTTATATGGCTGGTTGTATTTCTCAGACAAAAGCCTGTTGTTATGGAGCACTACTAGTTTTCACAGCCAAACTGTACTTTGAGTTAAGCCCAATGGACCCAATTTCTTTCCTTTTCAATATGTACTCTTGAAAATAAGTTCTAACCTATCCAGAAGACATCTTTGACATCTTGACATTTTTCACTCTTTGGTATTACTTTAAGGATTGTTTCACCTCTTCAGATATTACTTTGTTAGACAAGGTTATCCAACAAAAGTAATCAGCCACTTCAGGATCTGTGATAATAGAAAAGGAAAAGAAAAAATATTTCTTCTAAAGATATAACAACAAAAAGATCTCCCTGGAGGAAAAAAAAATTAAAAAAACATTTTTATTTCTATGAGTTTTAGTTGCTAAACCACCTATAGTCAAAGAACCATCCATTTGAGAAGAAAATATGACCTTCCACTCTATGCACCTTTTATCTTGGTCATGCTTTGTGAGTATTTTTATAGATCTAACAACTGAACCTTTCAATTTCATGTCAAATGTGTCACATATATTGTAAGGAAAGAAGCTACAACACCGAGCCTAAGATGCTCTTTTAGCCTTTTTACCTTCTCACCAGTAGCTTACCCAATTCTGATTCTCTGCAGGTTTATCCGGACGCCCAGCATTACAGACCAAGTTATCCCACCACTGGAGCTGAATTAGACAAGCTACATAAAGTTAAAAAACCATGAAAGTAGAGATCAATGCCTAGATCTTCCTCTCTCTAAATTTTCAGTAAGTCTGTAACACTAGACAAGTATGGTCAATAAACACTTTTATAAAGGAAATCTCTTAGGAGACTAAACTTCATAGTAAACTTTCTGTGATTACAGTGACTGCTAAACATCTGTGTTCTCAAAATCTGTAAACCGAGAGCAAAGTTAAGGAGTGCTAAGGCATAAAACTTATCTGAGCCAGGAAAGAAATCTCCTATGATTTTATCAGCTCCAACCAGTTACCTGTATCTACTGACAAAAAAAATAAAAGTGGAATAGTCTATCAGAAGTGCACTATGCAGGTCATAAGGCCATAACTTTTTTTTTCCCCTTTAATAACTAGATTGGTGCATCTAGCTACAAAAGCTTTTTCATTATTTCATGGGTCAGCTCAAGACTTACTAGAGCATGGGAACTATGTATACAAACTTAGTGAAGGACTCATATAATTATTAAAAATAACAATCATATGGTGAGATAAAGACAGTGCAGCATCTGCTTTCCACATTTTTTTTGTGGGAGTTTATAAGAAAGTCAGTCTTCATATGAGCACAGATAACCACACAGACACATACAAGCATCCGTCCATCTAGATTTATATCCTTTTTTAAGTAAACCTGCATTTCTGAAATGCTTGCCAAAGAACATTTAAACATATTGCCACTAAAAGAGCATTGGAAACAACCGTGATCATCACCTCAAAACTTCCAGGGTAACATATGACTAGAAATTTTTTGAGGAGAAAAAAGTAAATCTTTAGACTCAATGAAAATTACGTCAGCTGCACTGTGACCTCCAGAGACAACAGTGACTTTTGACAGCAACGATTTTGACAGAATTTGGGGTAATACTAGGAAATACTGGAAATAGTTAAAAAAACTTCCAAAGAGAGATTTCTGCACATTTTCACAAGAAATTTCTGAGTTATATTCTATGCAACAGTTTTGACTTCACTGGTGTTGCATCAGGCATTAATCAGTAAAATTTCTGGCTCATTATTTTCAGAATTAATTTTAGGAAGACCTGTTCATTAAGCAGGGTTCCTTCCCCAGTTCTCTAAGTTGAAGCTGAACACTTAAAATAAAAACTAATCTCATACTGAGACATTACTGCCCACGTGCTTATGGGATAAAAATATAATGTTACAAGGAAGTAAACTTTCATTTGGGACCAATCAAATGATATCCAGCAAGACAAAAAGCAAAAAAAAGAAAAATATAGAAAAAATTTTTTATCATCAACTCTAACACATATTTTGCTAGCTTTCCACCATCTTTTCACATTTGTAAAAACTACACAATTGTTACTAGCTATCTTTTTGGCTGACAGTGAGTTAAGTCAAAAAGCAAAAAGTTACCATGCACAACATGCCCTAGTTGCTCATTAGCATCTTTCTTCTCATCATGTTGCTGCCTCCTCAGATCTACTAGCTTAACTTCATGCCTAGCCAGTCCTGGTGCCAGCCAAAATGTCTAGTATCAGATTAAACTTAGCTTTTAAGTGCAGCTTATTTGACAGAGACAAGGTAAGGAGAGGCTACAGATACAATTCTACTGTCAGACAGGAGGCTGTAATAATTTCTGGCAGGATGTAGTAAAGAGGAGCTGAGGTAGGCTTAGAGTTGTAATCTTGCCACGAAGCTCAGCAGCAACCAAGACAGCATTTCAGACCACAGCCTCAAAGTTTTTGGAGGACAGATGAGAGGAAGAAGTGGCAGAATACTACAGACACAATACTATACTCTTTTAGAGACTGGCAATGGCTTTAAAAAAAACCCAATTCTGTCTTATAGAACTAAAAAAAAAAAAAAAGAGAACAAACTCCTCAGCTTTATATGATAGCTTGCATTAATGGAATAACCAAAACCAATAAAAATATGAAACCATGAGAATTCTCACTGGGCAGGTGGAAGCATGTGATAAAACTATGTCCTTGCAAGATAAAACTTATTCCAGGAGTGGCCACATTCATATAAGGAAGAAGCTGATGTGAAATGTTTACTGAACCCAGTAGCGTTTAAAATTCGCTGTGCAACTGAGTGAAGGAGACAGTCTAGATAATTTTACATTGAAGCTTCCTGATCCTTCTCCTTTCTTGGTAATCTTACGACCACACCAGTCGGCTCCAAAGCTTAAGAGCTGGGTACGTGTAAAGCCTGTCTCTATGAGCCCATTTGTTGCCACGTCCCACAGACCCAGCGGTAAATGTCACGTAGTGGTTCAGCCCCTTTGGATACCTTCTAACCAAGCCCAGTCGTTAAAGGCAGGTAAATGTTGCCTGCTACAGAGCTAAAAATTCCTCTGTTGCAAAAAGTAAGGAAATAGAGAGTTCACCTCCTTCTTGGGTTCCAGACTCGTGGTGTAGACAAAATGATGTGCTTCTCCTCTCTGCTTACTTCAAACAGAATTTATTCTCTGTTCATTTCACAACACCTAGAAATGAAAAAGAAGATTTTACTGACATAGCCTTGGAAATATTCATTTAATGTAGTCCCTTTTCAGAAAATGGATTAGGAATTTTTTGTAGTTCTGGTGCTGTAGAAGAGATCACAAATTTCGGATGGGAATATCAAAGGTACTTGCGAAGCAATGTTACTGCAATGCTTACTCAGCATCCTTAACCCTTCAAATGATAAAAAAATACAGGCAGCCATTAAGAAACAGAAGAGAGATGCCATGTTTACTTTCTCCTTGGTCAGCAAGCTGTAACAAATTCAAAAAGATGACACACTGCTTCATTGGAAAAGAAAGAAAAGGTAAGAGTAAAGTAGCTACTTTTATAATTTCTGCCTGAATAAAACACACTGTAATTTGATTTCTACACTGGAAAAAAAAAAGTAAAATCTAAATTACCTTTCTCATTCAAAGAAGCAGGAAAAAAGTTAGGTGTTTCTAAGAGACACTACAACAGCAAAAATGGTACAGTATGTGTGCCACTTCCAAGAAATAGAAACATATGATTATTTTGAAGTAGCTGGCCAGAGCTGGCAGTTGAACTCAATTATGATTCTATCAGGTGCCAGCTAACACATTCAATAGTATTTGAGAGAAAATGAAATATTGTAGTCCATGCAAATCATAAGAGATAGGAATCTTACTAAGCTGATATTGAGCTGCACCTTGCCTATGAATAGATCTCGCATTCCAGACAAAAAAATCTAAACCATTAAAACTAAAGGATAAAATCAACTTAACAGAACAATTTAAAAATACTTTTGTTTCAAAAACACACTACTGTAGAACTTAAAGCAGACAAACATATAACACGGTATTATTCTTTTTGTAAAAGAAGACAAATAATGAGAAAGATGGTATCTTGCTCAACGCAATGTCTGCATTGTTTTCTGTGTCTATCTGCAAGAAACTTATTTTCTCCACATTATTTAGCATATTCGCAGGAGAGTTATAATAAGGTTGTTTGAGATTTCTCCAAAAGTTGCGCAATGCACTACACATGTAACATTTACTTAGGATTATCAAATGCAACTGCACTAGAAATTAGAAAAATATTAAACATACTCAGAACTGAAGCAGTGGAGTCAGTCCTTTAGGACGGCTGGTGCTTCCCTTTGCTTAATGCCAGCTAGGCCCCAACACACTGAGAAAAGCACTACAAATTAGTATTTTCTGCCAGGCCATGCTGTGAATTAACTCTCTTAATTGTACTGGCATGGTGCTCGAGGGGAAAAACTAATTCTAAACTCAGAGAAATCAGAAGAAGGACTTTTAATTCTGCTCTACTAAATAAGAGGGTTATCTTATAAATTAATGTTTTAAGCACACAAAGAAGCTTTCTGTCATTATTATTTTCTAGAATGATCTGTTGTACCTCTGAGTAATTTTGCTTCATGAGCTTCAACTTCTTTCCTTCAGGTACTACTCCAGTGCCAAACAAATCTTTGGTCCTCCTGGTGATCACTCTATTTTCTGTATCTTACCCCAAGATGATATAAACATTTTGTTTCACCTTCACAGGTTTATCTTTTCCTTTGGCCTTAAAGATGTCAAAGTCTATAAATCAGTTCTTCTCTTGCCATTATGACAAACAAGTCCTATTTATCCTTTTCATGCTCCAAGTCCTGAATTTTTCTATTCACTAATGCTATGACCCTTCCATAAATACTTTTAACTCTTTTCAAAAATACACATTTCTGGAAGAAGGGGACTTGGCTTAGTAATCAGTGCAGGTAAAAAAAGCATGCTCTAAAAATGAGTCTGTCTCAATAACCCTCTTTCTCCAATAACTGAAGCAAAATGAGATTATGTACAACCTTAAGCCTGCTGCTCATCTCTTCATTCAGTTATTTATTTTTTCACTTCCAAGATTCCAATTAGGCAACATCAAAGTGGACATTCACATCCAAAGTTACTAGAAATGAGCACTTAGATGAAATACATTACCAAGTCAGGACTTAAAAAACTACAGTGCTGAAGACTTAGACCTGAATTTGATCCCTGTGAAATCACCGCATAACTTCTCAGGACTCTACACTTTACTATTTTTAAAAAATAGCAAATGATTAAGTAAACACTTACTGCAAATAAGACTGCACACTGGGCAATAAAAGCAAAATTGTGCGTTGAAAGGAACTTTTGGAGATCATCTATTCCAGTCTCCTCCCCAAGGCATGGCTACATTCTAAGTTTGGCTGGGTTGCTTTAGGGCCTTGTCCAGACGAGTTTTAAAAACCTCCAGGGCTAGAGGTCCCTCTCTAAGCAACTTGTCTCAGTGCTTAACCTTGCTGCCTGTCAAAAAATTGCCTCTTCAAATCCCATGGGAGTCTCCTTCACCACCACTTGTGGCCACTGTCTCCTGCCCCGTTGCTGTGCACCTCCCAGGGGAGCCTGGCTCTTATTCCTCTACTGCTCCTGCAACCAGCTCCTTGTGATGCCCTCTCTTGTCTCCTGGTAATCCTCCAGAACCTCAGGGACCTCCCATTTACCACTGCATTTTCTTGACCTCCTTGTTTTGAAGCACTGCAAAAAGGGCACAGCTGTCCCACCGCATTGGAAGAGGAGAATCCCCTGCCCCAACCCTACTGCTGTGCCTAGCCATCAGGAAGCCTCCCTTGCTGTAAGGACACATGGCTGCTTCACCAGTAAGTCACTGCCCACCAGACTCCCATGTCCTTTTCTGTGTGACTATTGGCAGCTGGTCTGCAGCACTGTGCTGGGTAATGCCAAATCAGTTCTGCAGGACTTCTGCAGAACTGTCTGTGTGGAGGGTATTTGTACAGTTTTACGACAGATATTCCTGTCCTAAGAAACTTAAGCCTAAACTAGGTGAGACAAGTAGATCAGACAGGATGAAAAATAACTGTTCAAGAATGGTAAGACATTAAAAAGGAGGCTAGTTAAAAGATTGGATCAGGATTCAGAGGGACCATGAAGACAAATGCAAATTCAGGCGCTTCTGAGTTCAAACTGTGGGAGACAGATAATTGAGAGACTCAAATTCAGGAATGGGTGATAGACATAAATAAAGCAATAGTATTAGAGGGTTACCTGACTGTAAGGCACAGGAATAGAAGAATGATTGAAAGCAAAATGAGATTATGTACAACCTTAGGCCTGCCGCTCATCTCTTCATTCAGTTATTTATTTTTTCACTTCCAAGATTCCAATTAGGCAACATCAAAGTTACTAGAAGAAATGTCAGGTATAAAAAGGTCTTCAAAACGAAAAGTAGTACTGCGGTCTGTCTGTACTACCTGACAAAAAAGAGTTCAAAAAACCTCTACTGCACTTGAACAATGAGGAGTGAGAGGTATAACCTTAAAATATAAGTGATGGAAAGAAATAAGCATGTGTCTAAAAGGAAATCTCAAACTCATCATCCTAAGTTTTCAAAGACAAACTTTAAACAAAATGGAGGGAGCTGAAAATACCTATTCATTTTGCTTGTGAGAAAAACCAATCTCTCATGCCTTTAGGCAGTAGAGAATTATGTGGTCTTTTGAACTGAAAAAGTGCAAACTGTAGAGGATCAGACTGAATAAATGTTAAGATACTACTCTCACAAAGCCTTTGGGAATTTACTCAATAACAATATTTTTGAGATTTCACACACAGGGATGGTGCATTTGTCATAGTTATTTACAACTTGTAGAGTAATCAAATAAAAATGAAAGGATTTGTTTATGCAATAAGGAACAGAGTCAAAGACAAAGGAAACATCTGCATGGGAACACATAACACTTATAAAACCCCTTCATTTTAAGATAAATTGAAAATAAAGAAAAACAAGCAAACAAACCCAAAAACAACCAAAAAAAACCCAACACCAAATTGATAACTTTCAACTGGGCTATGCTATAAGAAAGATTCACGTTTTTCAACTTAGTATATTTAAAATGTTGAAAAGTTAGTCTGGTTGGTAGAGTTGTTTCCCTTAATTTATGCAAAGATTTGACATGCAGAATTCATTTAGTCCTCATAGCAAGAAGGAAACTCCTTATCATAAAATAGACAGATGCTAGCAATTGGATGAACAGTTTCCTATATTTGTAAAGATTATTCCAATACAACTGTTACAGCTGTTGCAGATGGTACCAGAGTGGTATCCTTCATCCAAAAATGAGATGTATACATCTGAAGACGACTTTTTTAATAAGTCCTCATGTCAACCTTGTTGCGAAGACCTGCTTCCTGAAGACAAATTTTCAGTGCACTTTATTCAGGCTAGAATAATGGTGGCAGTTGTGCAGAAGCCCCTCGATCAGTATGATGGGAAGGTTAATGCCAATAGAAGCCATCTTCATTGCAGAAGTTTTTTCTGTGTTGTTGAGTAGAAGCATCAATAAAAGCTGAGGCCCTTGGGTCTCAATATATTTCAAGGTTAAAATCCAACTCAGTATGCAAATACGTATGCCAAAATTAAGCAGAAGATATGTATAATTTTCAATATCTAGTATATTGTTTATAATATCATAAAAAGTATTTACAAACCCTGATTATTTGGTCTAAGCCTGTAATCCTCTTTAGGAGTGAGATATATGCTGCATAAATAGCTTCTTAAGGGGGAAAAAAATCAACTTCATTGTGTGGTAACCTGTAAAATGAACTACATCTTCTTGTGAAAAGCAGCAGATAAGAAGGCATAAAGGAGCTGACTCTAATTGACACCTTTCCTACAATAATCGGGAACAATACTTCAAGAGGAGCAAACCACACATTTAGTCATGCCCTTCTTTTCTTTTATCATATGCAAAAAAAAAAAAAAGGTTTCAATCTCTTTCTTAAATGACATACTTTTACTTCTTTATTGAATTCTTTACTTCATGTCCTTTCTCCTTTCCCTTCTGGCCTTTTAAACCAACTGCTAAAATTACTCAGCAGAATTGCACATCAGGTATACAACAGTTCCTTTCATTGGCATGAGATACATGGAGACACAGGAGCTTAAAAGGCCAGTCATTATGTGCAGTCCATAA